GAGGATAGGACAGGATGGGAGAGGAGAGGGGTTCGAAAGGGAAACAAATGGTGACAAAGCCGGACTGGGCTGAATGGGGGGCATAAAGCGATTAAAGGTCACTGGGTGACTGGGGGGGTATAAGGTGTGGTAAGAAAAAGTCGAGTGAGAATTGTATGGGTTTTCCTGCGAGTTCCCCGGATTGCTGGGATGTCTGGTGCTGCTGGACCGTTTTACCGAAAAGACGTGCGGAATCCCCGCTATTTCGTCAGGAAAACGATGGGCCTCCTACCTTTGGGTTCTTCTCAAGAGGAACTTTGGTGGAGCACCACAGAGTCCTGACCGGTCACCGGTGTTGGTTAACGGATTGAGTGGTGCCGGAAGTGTGAGTGAGGGAAGAAGTGTGGGTGTGGCGGCCAACAGATAGCCGCCTAAATGACTCTTACAGAATGGTTAGAGTATGCAAAGACCTTTGGTTTCTGTTGGCCGCACATAGTATGTGTGGTAGTTTGGTGTGTGTGAGAACTGCAAAAGAGCCGATGAGATGAGGGGGGGAGGGGCGGCCGCCGATGCAGGAGCCGAGCGCGGCCTTGTGTTGCCGACCCGGAGTGGAGATGGTGGGGTGCCGGATAGCTTCACGGGTGCTGATAGGTCCGAGATAAACTCACCGGAGTCTAGACCCGTTGGACCGGCGCAGGACCGGAGCTTGTCCGGGAATGCGCTGCTTATCGTCGGCCCTGAGCTGCCGAGGGGGCCGGCCGACTCCGGCCTTACATCTACAGTCTCATTAACTTCATAGTATACATCATGAGTCTCTTGGGTCTCTTGAGTGTAGATGGAATTGCTTTTGTTCAAATCAGCAAAAGGCTCGGAGTAGACAGCCATATGTGGTACAAGATAATCCTCGTGAAATAATACCCCGTGCTCATGCTCTTCATCATCCTCTGACTCTCTCTATCTTAAAGCAAAGGATGCTCTAGTACAAGCTTACCAAACTTGCCCTGGTCAGCAACCTTCTTCACCTCCTCCAGCGCATCCTCCGCCGTTCCCTTGAAAACATCCACCACAGGAATCGAGAACTTGGTGCCGTAATTCTCAACAGACCATATCAACGCCTTCCACATCCTGCCCCAATCCTCCAGCCGTGGAGGGATCGTGATAGGGGGACCACCGCCCAGCTGTAGTGTAATTTCCGTATTCGCCGATGCCAGCGGCATCTTGATTCTCCCACCGGGCTTCGCCACGACAGACAGAATAATAGCATTCTCATCAACACAAGCCTCCGTCTGTGATGCCGAGGTGACCTCACCCCTTGAACCCGCACAATCGGCCGCGTAGCGAATTGGCCCCGCGTCAGCCTCCTCCGCCGCCTTCTTGATCTGAGAAATCACGTCTGGGGCGTTATAATCGAAGCAGCGCGTCGCCCCCATTTTAGTGAGCATCTCATGCCGCCCGGGCGACGCGGTGACGAAAATGGGGCTCGCACCGCTCTCCCGCGCTAATTGCAGCATGCAAAGTCCAACGCTGGCGGATGCGCCCCAAATAAGTAGCGGACCAGCCTTGAACCCTTCTTTTGCCTTCTCCCCAGGGAGAGGGTATCCAAAGATATTGTACAGCCCGTCGGCGGCTGTGGTCAGCACCACCGTGAGACTCGCGGCGTGCGTCTGGGGCAGGTTATCCGGAACCTTGAAGAGCATGTCCTCCGGACAGCTCAGGTACTCCTGATGCGCGCCGTGTCTCATTGGTTTGCCCATGCCGGTGGGTACGTAGCCGGCCACCAGGTCGTCCTGCTTGAAGGCGGACGACGCATTTTCGCCAGCAGCCCGGACGACTCGGCCGCAAAAGTCGTAGCCGAGGGTCACTGAGCGGACGCCGATGTATGGTGCGTGTTTGACGTCGGCGGGGTTTACGCCAGAGTAGAGAACCTTGACGAGGACCTCGCCATCTACGGGGTCGGGGATGGGAAGATTGCGGATGACGGAGAAGTTGCAGTCTTCGTCGACATAGAGCGCCGGCGCCGTTGATGTTGTTTTGCTGCCCATTGTGAGGTTTCGTATTCTATTGTCCTAGTGGGGGTTGACTTTGGCTGCCCGCCATAATTATCACACGGCAGACCAGACGCATCTTATGCAGTAACTTGTGGCCATGGACAGAACACTTCAAAACGTGGAATTGACACATTTATTTGCCCCCTTTCGCTAGCGTCCACTTCTCCGGGTCGCGACCCTCTCGTAAAATCGGGCATCCGGTGGGAGGTGGGCGGCTGAATAAAGATGAACGGAGCTCTCCAGAGGAATCACGGACGAATACGGCCGTCTCGGACAAGTTGCCCGATTTATTCATCGGCCAACGGAGGGTTCCTAACACCCGAGGTCGCCGGGGCCCATCTCTAGACTCTGCCGGGCGGGGGGTGGTAGCGTACAGTTGACGTGCCTCGGGTGATCAGCAGGGCCAAATGGCGGGGAAGAACTCAAACATATGCGACATGGACATGTCCAGGCCCTTTCCGACGTCTCGCATGGCATAGGCAGACTGTAGGGCTACATATGAACTGGTCCCAGGTTGAGTCCAATAAGTACGAGGCCCTCGGACCTCCCCCAGGCGAATATTACCCCAAGAGGGCGAAAATGGCAACGCCATTGGTTGGTACACAAGTGGGAATCTGCCGTGGAGCCATGCCGGTGAAGGGGGGCCGTGTTTCTGAGCGTCCTCGACGATCCGTCATCAGGAATTGGGTCAAATCCGAGGATTTACAGAGTCTCCTGAGAGGTGTAGACAGGCCGGGGAGCTCGGATTTATGATAGTCTCGTATAATAACGATATAACAAACATGCGATGCTGCCGCCATCAAAAAGGCTAATAGTCTTGTTCTAGACAAACATTGTACCTGCATCAACGGGAATTTATCACTGCGAGTTTGTTAGATTAAGCAACAATGGCGCCACTTATCGTCAACAACATTGAAGTCATCCAGACCCCCACTATCCCTCCAGCATGGCCAACTCCCAAAGAGCCTTCCCGCGTGGAGCTCTCAAGCGGAAGTCAAAAGACCCCAGAGCATCGTCCGCTCCCGTGCGACATCATCCTTGAGCGGGACCAGCCGTTGACGCTGCGCGACGGGACCCGTATCCGGGTTGACATCTTTCGGCCGAAGACGGACGAGAAGGTCCCTGCCATCCTGATGTGGTCGCCTTACGGGAAGACTGACACGGGTACGGCCCAATATGATGCCGATTGTGTTGTTGCGTACCAACTACTAACAGTATTTTCCAGGCACCCTGAATCTCCACGCAGTTCCTTTACGATGTGGCGTTCCCCTGAGCAAACTATCGGGTTACGAGTCGTTCGAGGGGTGGGATCTCCCTTACATGCGCCCTTACTATCAGACTTGAAAACTGACTTGCCTCCAAGACTAGACCCCGCTGAATGGGTGCCGAAAGGCTATGCCATCATCAACGCAGACGCCAGAGGATGCGGTGACTCTGAAGGCGACATGAGGTCGTGGGGTACCCCAGAGGGCCAAGACGGCCACGACGCCATTGAGGATATCGCCAAGCTGCCCTGGTGCACAGGCAAGGTCGCCATGGCTGGCAACTCATGGCTTGCGCTGTGTCAGTGGTACATAGCCGCCGAGAGGCCGCCTCACTTGGCGTGTATTGCTCCTCTGGAGGGTGCGAGCGATCATATGCGCGAGAGTCTATGCCGTGGCGGGATTCCTTCGATTGGGTTCGGGTCGATGATTAACAATGTGGTGCGTGGTAAGTTGCACGCCTATCCATCTATAAGCTTTAACTATTCGACTCAACTGACTGTGAATCAGGTCGTGGTCAGCAAGAAAACAGCGTCGAGATGCTGCTTAAGCACGGGCAGGGTCTCAGAGCGTACTGGGATGACAAGAGGGCCCGCATGGACAGGATTGAGGTCCCGGCCTACATCTTGGGCAGCTATTCGACGATGCTTCACACCATTGGGAGCTTCAGAGGTTTTGAAGAGATCCCTCACCAAAACAAATGGTTCGTTCAATGCATGCACCCTGGCCCAGGTCACAGTCAGTTGACTTCTTCCTAGGATGGTGACTCATGCTACGCAAGAGTGGTTCGACCTATACAGCCAAGAACGTACCGATGACTTGCAAAAGTTCTTCGACCGCTACGTGAAAGGCATCGACAACGGGTGGGAGAAGACTTCGCCGGTAAGGCTGGCCGTGCTCGGCTACAACAAGCCACCCGTGATCGATCTCCCTTTTGACTCTCTTCCTTGGCTATTACCGAGTGCCACGAACACGGAACTCCAGCGTCTTTACTTGGGTGCCGACAAGACGCTGCAGCATTCCAAAAACACCGATACCGCAACCCTTGGCTATGAGGGCACGGAAACCATGGTCTTCACGCACACCTTTCCCAAGTCTACGCAGCTGCTGGGCCCAACCAAGCTCGTGGTCCATGTATCCTGCCCCTCGGCTACAGACTTTGACGTCTACGCTCAGATTCGCAAACGAGATGCAAGCGGCAAAGACCTCGAGCATATTAACATTCCCCTCGAGGCACTCCCCGTGTCTGATCCCAAGGAAATCCCCAGCATCAACCCGCTCAAATACCTAGGACCCAACGGCAAGCTCCGCGCCTCCAAGCGCAAGGTCGCGCCGGAGCTGTCGCCCAACTACTGGCAGACGCTAGCCCACGACGAAGACATTGAGGTCAAGGCGGGCGAGATCGTCAAGATGGAGGTCTGGATATGGCCCACTGCCATACAGTTTGATGCCGGGGAGCAGTTGGCGCTCAAGATCACCGGCTCTGATAGTCTGGTGTTGCCAGAGTTTGAGTTCCTGGCCGAGAAGCCGAAGAATGCTGCTGGTCAGGTTGTCCACTTCGGCGGAGAGTACGAGAATTACTTGGAGGGGCATTGGCATGATTGAAGGGCTGAGATTCATGAAGCCCGGTTGGTTTTGGTTATTGTACACAGCAGTCATCAGAGTCGTAATTGTGAGATCAAGTGTATCAAGTTTCTACTATTACAAAGCCTCACTCCAACGCCTGAAGGAACTTGGAAAAGTCCAACGTCCCAAGGCCAGTCGCCGGATCCCATCCAGCAGTCGCAGACCACCCGCTCTCAACCTTGGTCCCGTAAGAGCAGCTTCCGCTAGATCCGCTCGTGACATCGTTGATCGCGGAACGGACCTTGTCAGAGTACAGCAGCGGGTTAAGGAATCCCAAAGCAGGCTTTCCCTCCCTCATGCGCTTGTCGTTGGCGAGAGCGATCATCGCAGCGACGACGGGCGTGCTGGCGCTCGTCCCCTTCTGCGTCCACCCAGGCTGCATCAGGAACCGGGACCCAATGGCCGAGATGTCCGGGCTGCCGCGGCCGTTCGGTGCGTACCAGCCTGCGTGTGATCCGTTGATGCCGGCAATGTACGCCTTGGCCGCGGACTCCTGCCACGCCGGACGCTCAAAGTACTCACTGAATCCGCCGGAGCTGTACCACGCAGGCTCCGTCGGCGCATAGTTGCCCGTCGCGCCGACACCCGTGACCCAGGGACAGTCAACGGGGAACGTCGGGATAAACTTTGTCGTATTCTTGCCGTCGTTTGAGATGCAGTCTCCTGAACCGATGCCCGCTGCGCCACCGTCGCCGGTAGCTACCAGAACAGAAACGCCGCGGGCGGCGACTTGCATGAAGAGGTCGCAGACGCGACGGGCGTACGGCTGCGGGACGAGCTGCTCATCGTCGGTGTAGGAGATGGAGATGACGTCTGGGATGGTCTCGCGGGCGAGCAGGGCCTCGAGGAACTCGATCCAGGGCTCGTGGGCGCTGTCCTTGGGATCCTTTTCTTTGCCGTCGGGCCCGATTTCGGGACCGCGGCCGCCAGTGGAGAAGTAGGTTGCGTTCATCGGCTGGATGAAGGGCATGCTGTACTGGATGTCCAGCAAAGCCTCGACGCCGTTGCCTTCGGTGGTGTCGCTGCCGCCGTTGATGGACTCCACCGTGAGGTTGTACTTTGGCGAGAAGGCGGTGGTGTTTCGGCGGGGGCTGTAGGACGCCAGGAAGGCTTGGAGAGTAGGAACATTGGGATATTCCTCTAGGAAGCCGGCGATGCCAAAGTCTGTGGGTGATGGTTCATTTGGCGGGCTGTAGTTGATGTTGTAGAGATCCACGATGCAGTCGGGGGTTGTGTAGTCCCAGCAGCTTCGAGGCACTGTGATGCGTCAGTGATGTGGTGACTTAGAAACCTGGCTATTGGGATCCGCCATGAACTTACTCGTGCTCTGTCGCTTTACTTTGCCAGACTCCCTCGCCTTGATCTGTCGTCTAGGCGGCTTGCTCATGAACTGAGTAACCGGGAAGACAAAGTCGACAACCTCTGAGACCTGGGTCGGAAGAGTGTACTCCTTGGCCCGCAACACAGCCTTCTCGCTCTTGTACTGATACTTGGAGAACTTGCAACCCAACAAGCGATTCGCTTTGACGACGGTGGTGTTTATGCGAACCCAAGGGCCGTCCTGAACAAAGCTCCGAATATCGTGAGCAGAAAGCCAAGTCGCAACGACAGCGTAGGCATCAGCGTTCGGCTCCTGGAACATCTTCAACAGATCGCGAGATACGTGTGCGCCATACTCGGCATGATCTGGGTCGCTGGTCACCTCGAGACGTGCCTTGAGCTCCGACAAGCCGGGCTGCTTCAACGCGACGGAAAGCTGGATCGTGTTGAGGTCATCGGCCGCAGCGATATGCCGCCAGCCCTGCGGGAGCTGCTTCACGACCTCGTGAACTGCATGGCCGCTAGTAGTCGGTTGACTGAGAGCGAAGCTGCTCAGAAGCAGAGTCAAACTAACGATAGCCTCATATTCTCTGTCTTGTGGGCGTACAAGCTTGTGGGAGCGTGGCGAGTCTCACTCTCTGCTACGGTCTGCTTGGGCTTGCAGCGTCACTTCATCTAATACCAGCGGCCAGCCTTCAGGGGCCGGGACAAGCTTTTCGGCAACTCGCCCGTATCACTCGACCCGCTGCTTGGCGATGAAGAACATCTTGGGTAGGATTTGACATCATCGTGGACTCTTTCCCCCTCCAGGGGTACCCATGCAACAATGCTTTCTAAAAGGTGAAATCTCCGCCAAAAAGCTCGTATCCAAAAGATCGGACGACTGCCGAATCCCGGTAGAACAAGTCAAAAACAATACAACCTTCACAACGGGGCCAACCGTCGGCCCTACCGCCCTGGGCTTAACCCAAAATACTAGACGAAGCTTGATGGTGGTTCGGTGCATTGAGCCAATCTCGCTTTGGCTGGACAATAGGAAAGCCGTTGATATCCACCAACTACCGTGCACTACGACCCCATATCAGCACTTTATTCGATGCCTGTCGCAATCTTAATACGAAAAATACTCTTCTCACGGCTCCCACCGGCGTTGGCGGCAGCGACTCTCCATGGGTTGTTTCGGGGCGATCATGGCCAAGCCGGGACTCGAGGCTGCGTGAACCTGCTTTCTCCGGAAGGTCGCCCGAATATTCCTCGGTCTCGCAGGTCATAGGTCATATGAGATTCTTAAAAGTTAGTATCCGAAAATAGCATTAGCATGACCCCGGTCGTGATCTTCCCCGCCATGAACTTTCACGGACCAGGAGCCTGTGGCCATAACACCACGAGATGATAAGAGAACGTGAACCCTCACACCGGAGTTGAGCCTCTCTTCCACCACGCACCTCAGTCACTCGCTCAAACTCGCTCCTACCGACAAGATGCTTGCCCAGTCCCTTGTCATGACGGCCCTGGCCAACGGCGCCCTCGCGGCCATCCCCACCGTCAGCGTCCCTCTGCACTACTACTACGGCGGCGGCCACAAGATCGCCACGAACCTGGTGAACTCGGCCGCAAACACCTCGGTCGAGGTCGTTTTCGACCAGGGCTCCGAGAACTTCTGGGTCTTTGGCCCGAACGCCATCAACAACTGGGGCTGCACCGGCTTCTTCTGCCAGGGCCAGTGCAACGCCACGGCCGAGCCCTTCTACGACTACCCTCACAGCGCGACGGCCAAGAAACCCGAGACGTTCGTGACGCAGTACGCCTACGGTGGGTACACCAAGATTGTCCAGGGCAAGGAGAGCGTCAACGACACATTCCTCTTTGCCGGCGACGCCGGTCTCACGTCAAAGGTGGACGCCCGCGTGGCTATTGCCAACTACATGCAGCAGCGCCTGTTGGACGGCGGCCAATGCAAGCCGGCCCCGTATGACCTCGGCATCCTCGGCGTGGCGCCCTTCTACCGTACCGCAGAGTGGAACACCACCGGCCCTCATGTCCGTCAGGATCTCCTCGAGAAGGGAGCCATCAGCGCCCCCGTCCAGAGCATTTGGTTCGACGAGGCTCCCGCCGACTGGAAGGGCACCTTCACCGGCAACGCCGTCTTCGGCGCCATTGACCTGTCCAAGTTCACCGGTGACCTCGTCCGGGTGCCTCTCGTCGAGAACGATGGTCTCGGTGCCACTGTCGGATACTTTGTCTCTCCTCCCACCGTCAAGGTCAAGAACGTCACCCTCGACAAGTCGGAAGTGACCACAAAGTCCTGCATGATCGACTCTGGCACCCAGATCAACGACCTGCCCATCGGTGATGCTGGCCTTTCAGCCTTCTTCGCTGCCGCCGGTCTCACCCGTGATTCCATCGGTCACGTCTCCTACAACGGCAGCTGCGATTCCGTTCCCAAGGACCTCACCATCGATCTCGAGTTTGCCGGTGCCGACGGTAAGAGCGTGACCATCAAGACTCCTATCCGTAACTACATCCGCAACAACGCGGATGCCGAAGCTGGGCTCTGCGCATTCAACATTGACACCGGCGCTTGCATGCTTGGTGCTCCCTTCGCGACCTCTGCGTTCTTCGCTGCCGATGATGCCAAAGGCGAGATTGCGCTGGCACAGGGTGGTATCTCGAAGAGAGGTAGCAAGGCGGATGACGCCTCTCTGTCTCTCACTATTCCTTGAACAGGGATTTGGTCGCGTGGATAGTAAATGAATAATCGTTAATCGTTAAATCTCAAGAAAGTGCAAGTAGCCATATTTGCGTGGAGAAACATCGAATCCAATCCGTCATTGATCTGATATACCGCTCATGAATCCGCTCGGTGGTGGCAATCTCTTATAACACATTACAAACCAGCTTAAAGTAAAGGCGCCTTGCTGTCCACCCGCGTCTTGAGTCTGACGTGGAAGTCCACCGGTCTCAAGTTGAACCACCCGTCCTGTTTCAACTCATACGAAGGATCCGCCATAGTGAAGTCCACCTCCTTGATCAACTTGGCCACCACAACCATGTTCCACAACCACGCATAGTGCTTACCAATGCACTCTCGCTTTCCATTACCATAGGACCTTCTTACACTCAAAGGCAGCTGCTCGTACTTGTCACCCATCATACGCTCAGGCTTGAAAGCCAATGGGTCTTCAAAGACAGAAGGATCCCGGTTCACACCCGCGAGAACGACGATCATGGGCTGGTTGTAGGCGATCTGATACTGGCCTCCTGCGAGGAACACGGGGCTCTTGTCACCGTCCTTAGGGATGGGCTCAATGTTGAACCCTGGGGCGGCGAAAGAAAGCCGCAGAGACTCGCGGACGATGCCCTCGATATATTTGAGCTGCGAGAGGTGCGCAAAGGTCAACTCACCGTCACCGACAACACGATTGAGCTCATTGCGCGCGGTAGTGATGACATTAGGGTTCTTCAGCAGGAAGTAGATGGCAGTGCTGACCATGCCTGGCGCCGTGCTGCTGCCAATGGGCATGGAGACTATTTCGTCAATGACTTGGGTGTGAGTCAAAGCCTTCTCCGACTCGGAGTCCACTGTGCTGAGAAGGGCAGCCAAGAGATCCTTCCTGTCCGATGGATTGGATTTCCGGTATTGGACCAGATCTTCGGCGTATGCCCGCATCACTTGCTTTCCCTTCTTGAACTTGCTTCCATAAAAGAGCCAGTTGAAGAGACCAGGTCGATTAGGTCGCTGCATTGCCTCGGATGTCGAGTCCTCCATGCCTCGAAGCATCGGGTGTTCTGGTCCAGTAAGACAGTTGAGCTTCTTGCCGAAGAGTGCCAGCGTCGTAGCCTCGAGGTTCAATCTGTTGAGCTCGCCAATGGCAGACACCTCAGCGTTGACGCCGAGGCCCTTCCACTTCTCGAGAAGCTCGTTTGTCGTGCTGAGCATGTCCGTAAAACGCTCCGCCACGGACGCTGCCATCAATTTGGGGGCGATGATGCGGTGGGCGATGCCCCAGTTTTCCTCGTGGTCGTAGGCTGTGAACAGAGCATCGTGGACTGCGTATCGGATCTCCACGATGGGACCGCCGACGTACTTGCGGAATCGTTTCTCGTCGCAAAGTTCCTCTACAAGCGCGGCACCAGCAACGAAGACGATTGTTTTGTTGAGAACTTTGATTTGGAAGATCTCGCCGTACGTCTCGGACAGCTTCTTGAGAGACGCCCAGGTGTTCTTAGTGTCGATGTTCTTGATGTTGCCCAAAATAGGCACCCCTGGTGGTCGTGGAATCGGGGTTGCCATCGTGTGAAATATGAGGACAGTGATCTAGGTGGAAGACTAGGATGGAATTTGGAGAAAGCGGTAGCTAGCGGGGACAGCAAACCGGTCCAAAAGAAAAAGAGCTGCCCGACCTCGAGCCTTAAAACGAAATGCCCAGCATCTCCCAAGTTCCCAGGTCTGAGATGTGGAATCCTCTTTGTTACCCCTTCGCGTCACTGGCCCAAAGCTATCTCTCGACTGTCTCACCGGGTCACGGCATCTCCCAGGCGCGACGGCCCGTATTTTGCTAACGCAACTGCTGTCATTGGGTCGACTGGCGTCGGTGTCACGGTGTTTGGCTGTTTTCGTCCAGTTCGGAGAATCATGTCTCACAAGGTCAGACACTACGCTGAACGAATGCTGATTGCGCCTCGCCGTTACACCTCTGCGGGGAGTCTGCATTGTGTCATGCTCGTCATCACATGAATATCGCCAAAATCTAGGTTTGACGGTGGATGTAGACAGAACATCGTCGTGCAAGTAGGCAGGTAGTCGGAACTCTTCTGCAGGTCGCGTGGGTGCGGTCCGGTTAAGTGTTGTTGTGAAAACGCCCAGCAAACTCCGGGCCCGCATCGGTGTCTCTGTTCTTTTGAACTTGAAACTATGCGAAATATCACCAGATGGGGAAGCAATTCCGGAGATCTGCAAAATGATTCTCCCTAGCTGATAATCGAGCAAGACATGTATTAGTTGGCCAGACATTAAGCTTATTATCATTGGTTCGATATCGCTATGCATGTGTACCGCGTTGTCTGTGTACCATCGTAATTTCTCTAACCTGATAAAATACTTCCTACTTTCGACGACACCGACCATGCATACATACCTTGTGTAGGACATGACATGTTGAGGGCAAAGTCACCCTATTGCCGATCTAGCTGGTAGTATTCATGAACGTCAACTCGATGCTTGCTCACAATGCAATGGACAGCTACTTACTCCACATGATACCCATATTCATTTTACCTCGATGGTCGACTATAACGTTCGCCGATGGCTGGCTTACCTTAGTTAGATAGACACCTCGTCAGATGTTAAAGGTGAGTCAATATGGTATCAAAACCTGACTGAAAACTACATGATATGGTACACATCCACTACACTCCTTCGTAATGGCCAAAAATGAAGATGCGACCAGTGTGGATTGAACACACGACCTTCAGATTGATTGAATGAAGTTTTCAATGGGTCTTGTTGACCCATGCTTCAGTCTGACGCTCTCCCAACTGAGCTATGTTCGCCGCTCATCTTCGAGCCCACCTACCGTTCGATGGCTTCATGTTCGCCATCGGCAATTCTTCGACAATACGCAACGGAATTCTTGATATCACGTTCATCACGGATCAATTCGGTATTGTCACCTGGATTTGGGCGCAATGTATTCTTCACTCACGTCTTTGATAGTGGCCTCGGCCCGGGTCCTTGATAGCTTCGATCTCAAGATAATTGAGTCC